ATCGACCTCGTGCAGGGTCCTCCCCTTTCCCACTCTGCCAGCGTGCTGTCCTTCCCAGGGACCGGTCCCTTCTGATGACACATCTGAACGAAGCTAGACCAAGTCTCCCCATCATCCTTTCTGAGGACATACTGGCTGTGCTTCGTCCAAGACACATGGGGTCACCCTCCAGCCCACGGTATTCAATATTCTTCACCAACCCCATGTCCCTGCTGATGGAAAGCAAAAGGCTGGACCTCCAGACCACCGAGGCTCCTTGGAGGAAAGGCCTGGCAGTCTGCTTCAGAACGATCAGCCGCTGCAAACCCCGCTGAGCCCAGTGCCCCTCGGGTCCCGTGGGGTCACCGTGAGTCGGGGTCGACGCTGCGGCAGGCGGGATTCCTCACAGTGTCTCACTTCATGCCAGCAGGTGTCTTCTTTGTGGTGAGATGGCTGTCACTACCAGTTTCACAGACAGAGCCAGGCCCTGTCCTTGTCCCACAGCTGGCTGTGGGAGGGGCCGGGGCACAGCCAGGTCTCCTAACAGCTCCCTCAGTTTCTCTCCAGGATTCTTAGAAAGCACATGTTACAGGAAGCATCGTGTCCCCCACAACGCGTGCTCCCATCCTCACCCCAGTGCCTGGGACCATGAGCTTGCCTGGAAATAGGGTCTTCACGGATGCATCAGTTAACATGAGGTCATACGGGGAGGGTGGATCCTGATCCCGCTGAGCGGTGCCCTTATAAACAGGGAGGACAGCCACGTGACCCCTGAGCTGTGCTGCAGTGTCTAGCCCAGGAATGGCTGGTTTACCAGACGTCAGCTCAGGTGAGGAAGGAACTTCCTTAGAGCCTTTGGGGCACTGGCCTGGCCAACGCTCTGAATTTAGATGTCCAGCCTCCGGAACAGAGGAGAAAGTTCAGCTTAGGACCGCCCAGGCTGTGGCACTTGGTTACGGCAGCCCTAGGAGACGGCTATACTACGTGTCGTTATTAATAGTGAGAACTATCCCCAAAAGAAGATAAAGGCGCAGCCCACACGTAGCTCAAAGCAGACGTTTCCGTTTTAATGGAACACAGGCTTAACACAAATAAAGTCTTACCTCGGGTCCAGAGTGCTATGTTTGACCTCCTTGGCCTCGCTGGAGCCAAGCTTGACTCAGATGTTTGACGAAAACACTCCTAAAGCAGACCCACTGCCGTCGAGCCGGTCCGGACGCATGGCGCCCCGTGTGTTAGAGCGGAGCTGAGCCCCAGGGGTTTTCTTGGCTGTCTTCTTTGTGGAAGCCGATCACCAGGCCTTTCTTCCGGGCTGCTGCCGCCTGTTTTGGTTCGCAGATGAGCACAGACCTCAGCCCAACCCAGGGACCTTTCTCCTTTGCCACAAGCAGCCTCCTGATTTCTCCCGGGCCTCCTTGACCAGCCGCACCGGCTCCTCCTTACCGCAGGCTTGGCTGTGTCCCAGGGGTGGCAGGGAGTGAACAGACCTGCCCCTCACCACCGGCCCCACCCACCTCACAGCGGAGTCTGGGGGCACCATGGAGAAGGGTGCTGAGCACAGGAGAGGGCGTCTTCGCAGAGGTCAGGGAGAGGCCGGCAGGAGGCGTTCCTTCCTTCCTGGAACCTCTAAATTCCTGGGCAAGAGGGGTTGGAGCTGACGCAGGGCTGTGACCCAGGCTTCACACTTTGTACAACACGTGACCTTCCTGGAGGGTGACCGCATAACACATAAAGCCTTAGAAACAGTCCCATGTTTTCTGTGACTCCTCTCTGCGGAGTTCATCCTGAGGAAGTGAGTCAGGACACATCCCTGCTCCGTCCCTTTCATTCTGGCTCCAACACAGGCTGGGGACACAGTTCACAGGTGCCATCAAGCTCATTTCAACTCAGAGAGACCCCACGTGTGTCCCCGCAGAGCTGTGCCCACAGGGGTGCCAGGGTCTGAGCTTTGGGTAAGCAGATGGCCAGGCTTTCTTCCGAGGTACATCTGGGCGGACTTGAACCCCCACTCTCTGGGTTAGGTGCCGAGCGCACCCCCAGGGGCTCTAGTGCATCCACGCCATGGCCTGTTACTCAGTTACAGCAGAGGGACCTTGAGGACACGTCAAGTGAAAGAATTCAGATACAGAACATCATGTCTGACATGACTGCATTTATCTCAAGTGTCCAGCACAGACAAAAGCTACAGACGCAAACGCAGAGGTGATGACAGTGAGCGTAACCGGCTCTGATGATGATGGTGAGGTGACCGGCACTGATGAAGGCTCCGCAGCTCTCGTGAGCAGATAACGGAACCTGCACGAGCAGGAACTCCCGGGGGCCCCTGGTTTGTCTGGGTCTCGTGAGGTTTCCCCTTTGGAAAGGGTGGGGTCCGACCATGCTTCCATGATGCATTTTAGTGGGAATCGTTCGAGTTTTCCTTCTCTGCCAGGTTTCTGCCTTATGCAAGGTCTGGCTTTGCAGGTTGGACCGCACGGAAAACCAATGAGCTGTATACTTGAAAACTACAAAGACAACCTCAGGGCTTGCCCATGCTCCAGTCTACCTCCCACTCACTGGATGCTGTTCCCAGTCACTTCCTGGGAGCACAGGCGCAGATCAGACCCAGCACGGCCTCACAGAGCCCACCCTCCGTGTGCGTGTGCCCGCATGGATGCATGTGTTTGTGTGCACGTCTGTGCGCATGTGCGCACTTGTGCGTGTATATGCACTTGCATATGTACATGTCTGCATGCATGTGTGTTTGGGTGCGTGATGTGATGACGTGTGTGTGTGTGGTGCATACATGTACACATGTGTGTGCATGTCTGCATGCATATGCATGTGTACATGTGCACAGTTGTGCCTGCACACACCTATGCTCATGCATGTGTATGTGCATGTTCATGTGCTTAGGTGCATGCATGTGTGTGTGTATATGTGCACACAAACACAGAAACAATTCCCCAGGATGGCAGTGTCACACACAAACACCACAGGCACAGATGACGTCCCAATCAAGGAAGTCTTCCTGGAGGAAGGGGTTCTGAAGGGGCAATAAGAACCAACTCAAATGCCCATACACCTTACTTTGAAGCCCCCCACAGCCCTGGAAATGGGCGGGGCAGGGATTCACTCCCGTTTACAAGGAAAGAAACAGGTGAGAAGTCTGGCACCTGGAAAGTGCCAGGGCTCAGATGTGACCCCCCCCACACACTTTTGCACCTCAAGCTGACTCCTTCCTCTTTCCATGACCCCAGAGCTGCCCAGGTAGGGCACAGACTAATACCATACTAATACCATACGTGTCTCCGTATCCCCTCTTCTGGGATCACCAGCAAGCAAAGGCCTGGAGTCCCTGAGCCTTCCTCTTAATGTGTTCACTTAATTAGCCATCTGAGGTGATCACTTTCTGCTGTGCGCTTCTGAACTTAACTCAGCAAATTAACGTTTGTGAATAGGACTCAGTTATGAATTTTAATAACCTGCGTTCATTCACAGTCCAAACAAATAACATATTTGGTGCTTCCTTTAATATGTTTATTGCCACTTTATTACAGTCACTTGCAACAAAACAGCATAAAATATTCATTCAAAGAGGCAGCCTCGTGGATTAGCTCTCAAAGTGGCACATGAAATCTTCTTTTAAAAGGTTGTGGAACGCTGCTCATTGTTCCCTGAAGACCTGCTGAATTGCGTTTTACAATCACCAGCGGCCCTGGAACAGCACACGTCAGGGTGAGGTGATGTCAAAGCAGAAACCACACAGTGCGCTTTTCTAATACCCTTCTTCGCTCTGCGAACAGACGGCCGGGAGTTCAAAGGCTGTGCCAACACAGCCTGAAAGGGACCAGCTCAGAACGCAAGACCAAAGGTGTCCCTGGCGACATGGAGGGAACGGAGAGGTGACCAACATTACCCAAGCTCCCCCAATGCTTTTACTCAGGTCCCTGGTGTTGCTAACGGTTCGTGTTCATCTGCTGACCTCAAGGCTGGCGTCTGAACCCACCCAGTGGTACAGCTCTCCTACGGAGATGGCTGGCGCCATGTCACACAGCAGGACTGACCCCTGGGGCTTTCTGAGCTGTGATCCCCAAGTCGTTCTGAGGAGCAGCTGGAGGGGCTCAAACAGCCAACCACCAGGGCTCCTTTCTGCAAAGATGACAGCCAAGGACATTCTCAAAAGGGTTCTACGCTGCAACCTTGGGTCACGGGGATTGCACCTGACAGCGGCCATGGGTTTTACTCAGATAGATGGTGTCCGAAGTCTACGAGCTGGGCGTTTTGTTTTTCAGTTTTCACATTTTGTTGGAATATAAGAAGACAGAAGTGTTTCTGAACCAGATAGGCAACTCGGAGGCACAGAAATCAGGGTTAGAAGTGGGTGATGATACCAGTCGGCGAGGCCGCGGCCTCAGCACAGACGCAAATCGTGACACCGTGGGGAGCAGAAGCCTCAGAAACTCGGGGAACCGTCCATCGAGGGGCGGCTTGAAAATCCCGGGGCGGCTGGCTCAGCCAGGTTCTCACCGGTGCCCCCTCGAGGCGCCCCTGGTCACTGCAGGAGCATCCCCTGGGGGAAGGGGTGAGGACAAGGAGGGGGTGAGCCAGCAGGGGAGCAGTGTTTTGGAAACTCGCTGCAGATGTATTTGGAGGGAACAGTACACGGAACATGCAGTGTGTCCTCTCAATTTATGCAGATGCTTACAGAGCAACTCTTAAGTGAATGGCACCGGGTGTGTGTGGGAGGGGGTAGGGAATACGCCCCATGTCTCCTCCTGTTACGGCGGCCAAAGCAAGTCGCATGACCGTGCCTCATTGGAAGGCAGTGGGCCCGAGGGCGCATAGGCCACCCCATGACAAAGGCTGGAAGCTGGCAGAGACCCCCACACACAGGCACCCAGACTGGGAGCTGGCAGAGAACCCCGCCCGCAGGTTCTCCGCACCCAGGCGCCCGGGCGCGCGCACACACAGCAGCAAGCAGTCTCACAATCTCCTACAGGCGCACCCGTGGTCCCAGGTCACTTCCAGGGCTCACTTACTATTCCAGACTGACGCCAAACTGCTGGGTGGGCAGGGGAGGCCGCGGTGGCGGTGGCGTCTTGGTTGGAGGGGGCGGCTTGCCCCTGTGCGGGTTCTGCAGCTTCTCGTCATACCTGTAGACACAAGGGGGGGCTGTCACCTGTGGGTGCCAGCCGGGCTGGGCACTCCAGGGACGTCTCAGACTTCCCAGGCACAGCCCTGTGACCCACATACATGGGCACACCCACATACATGCATGTGCACACGTATGCACACAAGTGTGCACATGCATGTCCACACAAGTGAACACATCCACACACACATGTACATAACCCACACTGCACTGGGGTCTCTGCACAGGTGGTGGGAAGGGCAGTCGAGTGCCTGTCTAATTCCTGGGTTTTGCTCTCAGCCCCAGGCCAGGTGGCCTCCTGGGACCAGCCAAGTTTAGCCTCCAGGCCTGGCTGCTGTGCGGTGGGCCCAGGGGGTGGCCACAGCTTGTGAATTTAGTTCCAGTGCTACCTGTTCTGTCCACAATCTCATCTCAGCCCCAGGAATGGAGCCTGACATAGGACCCCACCTTGCCCCAGAAGGGATGGGGTACAGACATGGGGACAGGCACCCGGGAACCTCAGTGAGGTGTGAAGGGTGATCAGGCGCAACTGATAGAAGGGAAGACACTGAGCTGGCCCCAAGCAGGAGGGAGCCACCGCCACACATGAGGGCTGTTCCCACACTGGGCACCCCAAGAGCCAGGCGCTGGGTCCCGGGCTCCAGGGCCTCTGCAGCAGGGGCCTTGCATGCCCACTTTACAGATCTGGAGACCATAGTCGTGAGGCCCAAGTCACCAGCTGGGACTGCAGCCCCGGATTCAGGACCCCAAACCTGTCCAGCCCCCTGCAGTGGGGTCCCCATCCTCATTGCTCATAGCATCTGGGGGAGGGTGCTATAAGATGCAGCCTGACAGCCCCTCTACCCTCAGAGCACAGAATTCGGGGTAACTGAAGTGACTCCGCAGCAGGGGTCCTGGTGGACCCAGGAAGGAGTTCCCCAATTCCCGAGCCCACTCCCCTCCCCCGGAACCTTTCCCTTCTGGCCACAGGCCTCTGCATGCTCCTCTCGGAGCCACAGAGAGCCTGACCCTCCTCATCACATTCCCACACCAGCGGACACCACAATGCCACAGGAAGGCTGCTCCAGACACATTGCGGGACCCCACTGCGCGCTCCCGCCTGGCCCCGCTCACCCCGCTGTCTCCACAAAACCCACTGCTGACCCAGTCTCCTTGCCCACACTTCCTCTTGGCCCTCGGGGGTCAGTGCAGCTCCTCCACCTGGCGCCCAGCACCCTCCGAGAAGCCGTAAGCAGCTTCCTGTGTCTGCCCTCTGCTTGGCCAGGTGGGGCTCGCTGCTTCCTCCCCTCCCCCCGCACCCCGGGAGCTCCTGTGCGTCTGCACGGGAGGCTCCCCTGCAGAGTGGACCGCCCCAGGCTTGTCCCTGCAGCCAACGCTTCTTCTGAGCCTCACTTCAAGAGTCACCTTCTGAATCCTTCCATCTGTTACCTGAAAATAACTTTTAAGCCTTGAACCAAAACTATGGCAAGAAGTGATCTTTAAACCAAATGACAACGTAGCTCATTTAATGAATGTTCACCCCGAGGACAGTGCTCTTTCAAAGACTTATCTACATGAGGTCAATGGGCAACAAAGTCTAAAAGAGATGAGAACTTAAAGGGGCAGAGAGTCTGTGTTAACAGTGGTGAGACAGTAGGGGAAGAGATGGGGGTCAGTGACACAATGTGGAGAAGGTACCCCTGTCAGTGATGTCTATGTATAAAAACTATGGAATGGTGTATGCTATGTTGTGAATCGTTTCACCCAAAATAAAAAATTATTATTATTTTTTTAAAAGTCACCTCCTCTAGGAAGTCTTCCCTGATTGCCAGCCCCCCCACACCCAGCTGGGTTCAGTGCTTCCAGCAATCCCTGTCATCACTGCCTTGTGGCTCCCACTAGCCTGGAAATGTCCTGAGGGCTGGGATCACCCTTCCTCCACATCCCTGCCCTCCCCAGCATGCAGTATGTGCCCTAGGACACAGTAGGAGCACCCCAAGCACTCAATGGGGGGGGGAACATCTCTACGTCCCCTGCAGGGCTGCCGATGTCACTTCCTGTACTTTGCTGAGAGTCTGCTCCTGTGGGAGGAGCTCCCAGACAGA